CTCACAGCCATGCACGGGAGGACAAAGTACATATACGGAATACATATATTGTACTCCGTATACACAGCCTTATCCCGATCCCGGCGAAATAAGCGAAACCCCGTAACCTGGAAAGTTACGGGAGGGGAAAGACGGATCTGTCCAGCCCGGACTCTGCAGCATAGGAAACGTGTGTCTACATTCGAAGTACCTCTGCATAGTACTATATACGGAGTACTATATACTAGTACAAAGGACATTAATATTGATAAATTAATTTGTATTGCCAATATACAAATACGTATGTAGCCTATCATGTACCCGCTCAGACAGCCAGGAAGAACCTAGAAAATCCCCGATACGGACATATCTCCTTTTTCATCTTTCCTACAACAATACTTATTAAAATCTTCACATGGAGGACATTCATGAGGTATGTATATATAATACATACACAATCTTACTCCGTACGGAGTACGTATACAAAAAAAAACCATAAAAAAGATCGCGAAATACCACCAAAAAGGGCCTCAGCGCCCCTTAACCAACTTAGTACTGATCCACTCTCCCATCTACGCCATACACAGACAGAAGCAGGATTTAGAGGGACTATCATGTCGATATATCACATTTAGTTAGCTTTTGGCTGGTCTGGAACCCTCTCGGTGTTTGTTCTGTTTCGTTTTGGCTGTGGCAAGATTCGATCATCGGAATTGTGTGAGGTCATGGGGTTGGGAACCGAATATGTCCGGTGCGTTGGATTGGTTGTTTCGTATAAAATGAGGACTGCGAGGGTGGCCTCACTCCGACAAAAGTACCGATGAGGGTTGGGGCGAGGCAGGCATACAGATGGATTATACTACGGAGTATGGATAAAGGTACCACAGTGAAGAGCTTATTGAACAGATGAGAAAGTCCCTGGTTTATGTTGAAGATACGATACTTCGAAAACGTGTATAGATGACTCGCAACAGTTAGATTCTCTCAATTGATGGCCAGTCCAACGGGATTCCAAGTCATCTAAGTCAAGGTCTCGCCATATGCATCATACCAAACCATGCTGTCCACAAGTATAAGAAAGGTATCAAAATTTCTATCATAGAACCGTTGTGTGACATAACAAAGCACAAGACAAGACCCCAGAACACCCATTTAACCACCCAGCTGAACAGAAAAGAGCACCTAGTACCCGGTATAAATAGCCTGCCACATGCCAATATGTTCAAGATTGTAAATAGTCAATATAATCTGCTTGAATTGAAGATGGGTATGGGTAAAAGAACGGGGTGGAGGTTGACACAGCAAGCGAATAAAAAAAAATCCCCAAGATTGCTGCGCCGTATGTACAAGATGCATCGCTTGAGAAAATCCAAAGGCCAGAGAGTCAAAAGCATGTCCCCAGGGACACCGCCATACATACTCTATAATGGACACTCTAAAGGTAATTCTATCGGGACTGGGACATCGCCTTCGCGGCGTGTCTGTCTCATTTGGTGGTGGAACAGTTGCCACACACCCTTCAGCGCTTCTATGCGGTCGTTGGTGTCGAACAGGTCGAACCATCGAGTCCTCTGCAGCTTCAGCACATGCCACGGCTCACCTTCGGTTGCTGGGAAGGTGCTGTCGCCGTTAGTAAGGATATCCAAATACCGCCTGTGGACACGAAGGTGGAGGATTGAGACGTGATGGTTGATAGATGAGACCATGTAAATCTGCGAAAGAAAAAAAAAAAGAATGGAGGGTTAGCTCTGTCTAGCCGTAACGTGCACAATATCAATGAACAAGGCAGGGTATCCATACATCATCAAAAGGACTCTCCTGGACCTTGCCTATCTGCAAATAACTCATTCGCTTATCCCAAAGACTAGGCCCAGGCTGCAGAATCTTCCACTTTTCACTAGTAGTAAGTCTGCGCATAGCACTCGGTCTCCGGGAGAGAGACGTGACAAATGGATGCTCGAACCTCTGACGCTTGGAAGCGCTCCCCGCCTCCTGGGCAGATGGCGTGCCTTCTTCCATCATTGAGTCTGGCAGGGACATCCCGTGTCCATGATTAACGAGATCATCCAGGATCCCATCGTTGGGGGCGCCTCCAAAGCGAGGCTGCATGGTCCACCATTTGCCCTCGCCGGGTCGCTTCTCCACTGCGCCTTCGCGGGCACGCTCTTGCGCCGCGAGAAGCATGCCGCCCACTTCCCGGAATAAATCACTTACATCACCAATTCCGGTCCCGGGGGCCTTGTCCGCAGTGCGGAAAGACGTCTCAGGTCGACACTGTGAGATGAGAACGGGGCCCTCGAGCATGCCGCTCCGCGCAATCTGGCGATCGCGCGGGGACCGCGAGGACTGGAATGTTTGCCGGACGGGGAAGAGGAGGTTCTTGGTGGTTAACCGTGGTTGAAGCGTGGGAACCGTGACCTGGCATCCGAATGGCCATGCGGCCATCTCCACAAAGGCTCGGATTGTCTCATCACGCATTTCATCAGGCATCTCGGCCCCGTTGCCAATTCGACGGCCCGTGTATACAGGGACAGAGGGCCGCTGCTCCTCACCAACGGTGCCGTTGCTTGAAGGTGCCGCTATCGGTGCTTCATCCAGATCCATTTCACCGTCTGTCAGAGAGTATCTGCCCTTAGTCTCCTCCGCATCCATCTGCCCTGTGCTATCCTCTGCCCGTTCCATCTCAGATGGGGGTGTCGGGTCAGGGGTTGCCGGACGCTCGAAGTAATTGTCTAGGCTAGTATCCCAGTATTGAGCCATGCGCTCCAATCCCGTCCAGAACTTCCTCGACTGCGTTATACGAACCCGGCTGCGGCCCTCACGCGGTGGCAATCGAGCGACCTCACGGAAAGCGTCGTCATTATCCAACGCCAGCTCTTTTTCCAGGACTTCGTATCGTTCTTTTGAGGGATATGGGGCTCCATTGTCCATCAACGGTCGGGGGTTGTCGTCTGTCGGTTCGGTGATATCCTCCCATGGCAAGGGGGCGAGGGGGTGCGAGTGGTCTTCGGGGAGCATGTGGGCGACTTCAACGTCCGTCTCCAATTGCAGGTTCAACGGCTTAAAGCGCTCCATACAGATGTCCTGTGGCCGCTTGATGTCGGCCAGGAGGTCGGACATCTCCTTGAGTCTTGACTCCGACTCATTTTCGAGGACATCGGATAGGTTGTAGACGGGGAAATCGAGAGGTGTCGGGTCAGCGGGGGGTCTACGTTCCTTCTCCGGCTCTGAAGTGGCAGAGGGCAAGGCTATCGCGAAGTTGTGTTAGCTTGCTGAGGCTGTCAATGTGGTTCGTCCATCGTTCAGGTGTTGATGACAGATCTAAGGTCGCATAGTCCTTCAAGCCACAGTCCGGCGATCCAATCCAATGTGGCTGCCCAGGTGAACTTGTTGACATTTCAACTTGCCACAAGGAGGTATGGCGGGGGGGAGGAGGAGGGAAAACATCGAGGGGTAGCAAAAGGAAGATTGCTTACCCAGCCCAGAACCCCAGCCAAACATTTTTTTAATCACAGATCTAATGCAAATGCAAATGCACGATTATCGCAAAGTTCTAGTTCCCCAAGGTCACATGGGAACATGAGGGGGAACGGGAAGGCGGAAAGACAAAGACGAAGGCCGAAAGGGCAGAAACACGGATAGTTCAGGTAAATAAATAAACAAATGTTGAAATCCAAAAAAAAAGAAAGAAAGAAAGAAACAACTCTTGATGAAGAAGAAGAGATGGGGAGAAGATGAAAGGGACCGGGGGGACTTTTGCAGGTGGGGAATTTGGCGGGAACATTTGTCCCTTCAGCCTACTCTGTAGGGTCAGTCGACTAATCTGATCTATATATATTCTATTATTCTACCTGCATATATATCTTATGACCTTTGACTGATGACAATATTCATACATACATACATACATTTGTCAGGGTCAAGAGATAAGGGTTGAGGCATGTTCTTCCAGAGTGTAGAGGTGCTATGGTGCTAATGTATCAGCAGTTGACGCTCTTTACTCCGTCCTCCGTCCTCCGTACTTTGTCCTAGTACTGTATTCTCTTCCTTTTTCTTTTTTTCTTTTTCTTTTCCTATTCTCCCCTTATCGTTCATGCACGCTATGAGAATGTGGACTTCTTCCTTATATATCCACCTGAGTTTGGTCACATGACTCTAACAAAAGAGGCATTGCTACGATTCCTCAATGCCGAGGATACAGTTCCCCCCCACTGCAAGATCTGCAAGACCTGCAAGACACCAACGGCTGGAATAGGCAAGACGTGAAACTTCAGAGAGTTACCCCCAGGTTGGATCGGTCCAATTTTCAATAACTCTCTCGCCAAACCCGAAACTGCTCTGTTTCGTCCCTGAGACATGATACACTTCCCCGCTCAAATCCTACCTAAGGAATAATAATTGTGAGATTGTGCGCGTGCGGAAAAGTTAGCCAGTGTCACATTATGAGAAATTCCCATAGTCTTTGGAGATGATCATCCACTCGTGGACCGCCCGAGGGTCTCATTGGGCCGAGGGCTAAGCGCCGTTCATCTGTCACAGGAGTTGCTTCCACCCAGCCATCAGAAGAAGCGCCAGGTTCCAAACAAATGAAAGACAAAACCCCCTGGCAAATTCTGTGGGAACAAAAAAGTAAAAAAAAAAAAGTAAAAAGAAATCCCTGTATATAACCCTCCGCCCTCTTTGTATCTGCCATGATACACTTTTGGGGCCCCTACGAAGGTGAATCGTGAACTGTATGGAATCTGGGTCTAACCACGGGATTATGTTCGTGGCTCTCTCGGGGCTTCAAGGAACAAAGCAAGAAACAGACGGGGCTTGGGTGAACCAGCAGAGTCAACTTGATAAGCCTACTGCTTTGTCGATTGCTTTGTCGCTTTGTCGCTTTGTGCTTTGTCCAACACTCATACAAAGGGATCCATCCTTTTACGTCGCCCCCATGTTCCATTCATCGAATACGCACTCGCCAAATATCATCAGATCTGTCTTTTAACGACCGGTGCCCCCTGCGGGCTCGCGGCGAGATGTCGGGTGTTTTTTCCGCCATTGATACTCCCTCTATACCGCTCAACAATTTCATCCGGGCGTGGTCCACAGACTCACCCTCTAAACCCCTCAATCTGGTGACACTCACATCAATTCAAACTGAGACTGTTTATCCTACATGGGTCTACACTATATCTGTCCCCGGACCTGATTCCAGCACCACAACCACTGTGCTCGACACATCAACACTGAACCCAACCACAGTAGCCGTGGCTCTGACAACGACTGAGCTATCGACGACTAAGCAGAACACCATAATATCGACTGTAAGCTCTACAGCGACGATCATCTCAGAGTCCTTGACATCGACTCTAATCCCAACAACCTCGGTTCTCTCAAGCTCAATGGGGGGTTTTCCTATTTCGGCAACTTCAGAATCATCCGACTATCCTAGCAGCATGTGGATTCCACCGGTTCCATTAACTAGCTCGAGGATATCTCTTTCATCATCATCACTGCCTATCTTGCCGGGGACAGCTATTAGTCCCGTAAGCTCTAGCTCCTTCCGTACCTCCAGCTCGAGCACCACACCGTCAAATACACCTTCAATCTCACCATCCATCGGAACAGCCACGAGTGCAAACTCTTCAGAAACAGCCCAAGCCGAAAATTCGAGCCCCTCCAAAGTCGGAACGATAGTTGGAAGCATCATCGGAGGATCAGCAATCACGATCTTCGCCCTACTAGCCTGCGCACTCTATATGCGTCGCCGACGACGAAAAACAGCAACAGAAAGGCTAGGCATCCGACAGGAACTACTACGAGGTGACTCAACGAGCTCATCAATCAGCCACCACCACCGCTACCACTCCTACCCCTCGATCCCAGCCAATATCGGCCCGAGACCACCCATACTCCCATTCATCCCGCTACAACAACAGCAGCCCTCAAATCCAGATCTGTCTCTGGATAGCATGTATCTGCGCGGCGAGACAGCGCAGGACCCCTTCGTGGACCCACCGTCCGCAGTCATCGAGATCTCAGCCCCATCTCGCTCAGTCTCGATCTACTCCACTTCTTCCCGTGATACTAGGCTCGGTGGGCAGGGGTACTGGGACTGCGAACGTGAGGGATCGGGTTCCCTCGCTGTACCCCATAGGTACTTGGATACGCCTGTGATGCGTGATAGCATGCGCAGCGACCCTTTCGATCTTGATCTTGAGCCTCCGCCGAATGCTCATCATCGGTCTTCTATGCCTCCGATTCCGAGTACGTGGGGTGTCAAGTTTTAGATGGCGAAGTCTCGCTTTTGTTTTGCTTCAAGGTTTTCTTCCGGGTCGGGTTTTCTTTTTTGTTTCCTGCATATATTATTCGTTTGCTGTGATACACTTGGTTTTTTTTTTTTTTTTTTTATTTACGATGACAAGATCTTACGAATGCGATGTCTGCATGTTTTCTTTTTCTTCTTTTTTTGTACTTACTTGCCGGGATTCCACTTGGGTGCATTTTTATCTTATCTCGGGTTCGGTGTTGAAGGTCTGGGTTGTTCATTGGGATTATATTGATATGTACAATTCAAAGAGAAGGTAGAAGGACTCAAATTTTTATCTCTATGTTCAAGATATATCGACCTATTTCCACCATTCTTCATTTCCTTCTTTTCTTCTAGAAGTTGTTGAGAAATCGGTCGCCTTCGAGATTTACAGGGTAAGGATGGCACCACGCTCAATGCATAATTGCTGTCTATTCGATATTTTAGAAGTGCTCGGACGCTATTGGAAGCTGATCTGGGGTTATTGGACATCGCACAGTTTCGTTCGACGCTGAAATTTGGCTATTAATCATATATGATTTCTATACTTCAAGTATTGTGGGGTTGTGTGATCTAGATATATATCTGACGACAATCACATTTTTGACACAAATTTTGTTGGATCTTTAATTTAACTACCTGGTGGATATTTCAAAACAGGCCAAAAAAGCCAAGTCTTCTTATTTAATCCTCTATCCTTGTCAATATTGTGGGTTGAGTGGGCTATGAAGCCTAGAAGTGGGTGGATAGGCCATTTTAGATCAAACCCCCCAGAATAGCAGTGGCGTAGCCACAAGACCCATAAATTACGTTGGAGGTCTTTGATCCACGAGGCTGCAGTTGCCCAGGGGATAGGATCGGGCATCGGAATAAAATGGGGATATAGAAATGGACATCCAAGCAGTACACCCCGGACAACCGGCGACAAGAACCTTGGAACATATTGGTGATCACTACGAGGCTATGGACAGCAAACCGGGAGGGAGCATAGAGAACATACGAGCAAGACCATCGAGGGGATGGTATCCACCGGCTTATAGAGGGAACAGACAACGATCTGCTGCTCCGCATATCAAGTTTATACCACCAAGTCGCAGTAGATATGGACCGGGAACGAGGATGCGATTTTTGTTATGTTTTTTGGTGAAGTAAAAAAGATTTCCTTTTGCTTTCTCGTTACATTTTAACAAGAATAGCTTGAGTATCACATCATCATCGCATCTTCCTATTTCCCATACCCCATATTTTGCGAAAAGATCCAGTAAGGCCACGAACCCCATGCTATCAAAGAAAACAAAGGGAAGGAGAGAAAGTCGTAACAGAATCTAGACTAATAGGAAGACGCCGAAGGCCGACCTGAGTTCGATATCGGGAACAGCCTAGAATCCCGAATCCAACCCAGAAGTTAACCGTTTCCAACCTCCGGACCGCCGAATTGCAAGAGAAGCGTCAAACAACGGAAGGGTAATTGAATTTTTGTATCAGATTTACTCTTCGTTCATCAGAGCCTCGCGCTTGGCATCCTTGCGCTCCAACCGGCGCTCACGGAGAGCCTTGTTCTTGGCACGCTTAGCATCCATCTCCTCCTTGAGGACACGGTCGCGTGCACGCTCAGCCTTAGCCTTCTGGATCTGTAGCGGTGAAAAAGAGAACGAGTCAGCCTGGATGTGTCCTGTTTTGCGTGTTTTATGGAGTTTCATGGGGTTCATGTTTCCATATTCGATCGTCATCCGTGGGGTTGATTCGGGTTGTAACTTACGTGCTCAACGAGGGCACGCTTGTGCTTGAAGGTGTTACCCTTGCTCAGGTGGTAAAGCTCGTGGTAGAGGTGCTTGTCGATCTTGCCGGCGGCGCGGTAGCGGACGAGCAGACGACGGAGGACACGCATGCGGCGCATCCAGAGGACCTGGCTAAACAGAGGAAAACGCAATCAGCAACTGTGCTCCGGTTCGAGCTCCGTCGGGCGAGTCCGAGACAGGCCGGAGGGAGACACAAGATGATGGTGGTGTGCATACCTGGGCATACGGGCGTCCTTGGTACCCTTGCGCTTACCGAGACCACGGTGACGGCCGTTGCGGCGGGCCTCGTTGAGCTCACGGGCGCTGGCGCGGGAGTGCATGGTGACGGGCTTGCGAATGATGAGGCCATCGCTGACGAGCTTGCGGATGGTCTGGCGAGAGTTGGCGTTGGAGATCTCGCTCATCTCATTGGGGTCGAGCCAAATCTTGCGCTTGCCGCAGCCGACCACGGAGGCGGCGAGGCGCTTCTGGGTGGTAAGGTTGACCCTGTGGTGGTGAAAGACCCGGTCAGCATCATAGCACACACATCGCGAAGTTGTTCCTCCACTATAACGAAAATATCGGGTCCACGAGTTGGGTGTTGGACATGAATTTCCACAGCACACGGGAGTGCATTCGAGAATGATAACAGCTTGGAGATAGAACTCACATCTTGATGTCGGCGTATCGACGGTCGTTGGCGGATGATGTTCGTGGCACTGAGAAATCCCGACGGTGAGAGTTTGAGAGGGCACTGCGGGCCAGATTAGGTCAGCCGAGGGCTAAGCGAGTGCTCTTTCCACAACTGGCGGAACGCTCCAGGGTAGATGCCCTAACACTAGTCCGAATAGGGACGATACAACTTGAAGATCTTGCAGTCCGGGGAAGCCAAGAGTAATTACACTGGGAAAAGTTGGAGCGAAGATATTAAGAGAGAAAGGGAGTTGAAGTTTGGGTTTTTTTCTTTTTTTCACATTCGCAGTTTGCCATGGCGTTCGTGATAGATGGAGCCAAAGGAGTATAACCACGTGACCTTGAATACAAGCAGTGTCACATGATCTAACATTCCCATTTAAGGAATAGTGATCTACAGTATAAAGTCCATGTACATATGGAGTAGACGGTTGGCCATTGATATAGAATAACGCAATATAAAATATACAAAAAGATACATATGCATAACTTTTGTACGACTAAAACAATAAAACCCAAGGGTATATCTATAAACATCTAGATGCTCCTTGGATGCGCAAACAGATCATCACTCATCGCCGAAGGCCTCTCCAAGATCAACCTTGCCGATGCTCCACAATTCTTTCTCATCATCTATCTCATCATTCGACAGTCCCAAGCCACCTTCACCACCTTCAGCCTCCCGACGCTCACGCGCCTGGTTAGCCAAACGAATAGCAATGCGCTTGAAGTAATCAGACATGCTGCGCTTGGGGCCTGGTGGGAGAGATGCACCTGGACCGGCCATATACTTGTCAAACACCTCACTTTCAGACTCAACCACGGAGAAGATGGCCAAGAATGCTGCTTCGGCAGCCAGCTTGACCGGAATCACCAGATCACGGACACTAGCGAAGATGGGCGGTGCGAGCAGAGCCAGATGAGGACGGGCCAGCTCGGGGTGAAGACGGCTAACAGTCCGGATGACTACCAGGCTCAACCGCCGGGTGTCAACCGGGTTGCCGACCTGGATGGCAGATGCCAAGGCCTCGAAGATGGTCTTGCTTGACTCGAAAGCATGGTCGCCATCGTTGGACAAAAGATATTTGCCTGAAGCGAGAGCGCTGTTGTCGGAGATGAAGGGCTAATTTACAGTTAGCTTCGAGCAATAATGAGCAGTTCAGCATTCCACTTACATCCTGGTTTGCAAGACCCTGGCAGATGACAGTGGGCAGCTCCACAGAGAAGTGCTCCGTCAAAACCTCGGGACATTCAGCCAAAAGAGCGTTGAGTCCGAGGACCGCTGCATGAGAAAGGGAACCAGAAAGGATACGGTTCCTACAAGGAAATATGTTAGCGTCCAGCAAAATCAAACCACGAGAACGAACGAATATGCATACTTGATGAGAGGAACCGAGCTTGCGGCAGGGAGGACCTTCACGAGAGCACCGAGCAGACGAGCGTTGGTAATGGAAACGGAATCTGTGAGAATGTTAGAAAGCCGTGAAACATAGGAATCGTTGATAATAATAATAATAATAATCTTACCGGTCTGGTCGCTAGCGTCATCGTCAATTAGGCCAAGGATCGCTTGCCGGGATGCCTCGCTCATGTTGGCACCGGCCTTGCCAACCACCTCCTGGAGAGCCTTCATCATGGCGTTTTTCACGCCAATGTCGGTAGTCTTTGATCCAGCAATAAGTTCTGGAGATAGAAGTTAGCGATGAGCTAGATCCCATGTATAAAACTTCCCGAGACTTACCAGCAATAAGAGGATCAACTCTGGGGGTCAGCGTAATCAAGATACCGAGACCCTTGGCAGCGCGGTTGCGCAGAGTCTCGCTTGTGGTGTCAGCCAGACCACGAGCGAATGTACGCTGGAGCTGAGGTAAGAACGGCTTGACAGCCAACGGGATCTTCTCCAGCAGCTTGTTAAGAGTATAGAAGATAGCGCCTGGCAAACCAAATCAGTAAACAAATACCACATAAAAACTTTGCATAACTTACACTTGATATCGACTGAACGTTCTGACACAACACGAATGAGCGGACCGGTGATCTGTGTGACGAAAGGTTTCAATGACTCGGCGCGAGTCCGGTCAATGATATCTGACATAGCAAGAGCCGACTGGGTACGCTGATCGGTAGTACCGTTGAGAAGACCTTGCAAGAAGATTGGCAAAATAGCCATGATACCCTTCGGCAGACTGAATCCGGGCAGGTCCGCGCCAGCCACGCCCACCTGTCGCAGAATCTGGCGGGTGGGAATAGCCAAGCTCTCCATCTCTTCCTTGCGCATGTGAGACATGAGACCAGTGAGGGCAGTCCATGCCGACTTGACGACATCCTTGTCTGGGTCGTCGAACGAAATCAACAGGGCACGGATCAAGTCCTGGTAGTACCTTGAGAAGTCGACCTCGGCTTCCGAGAAGAACTTGGTCAGATGGAGCGCCGCAGCAGCGCGACGACGGTGGTCGTCGTGCTTCACAAGAGTGACCATCACATTCATGGCGGCGCTCAGGCCATCGTA